GGGGGGGGGGGTGTTTACCTGTCACTGGAGCTCAGAGAACTGGCTTTAGGACATTCAGGGAAACACACATATCTGCTAGGCCCCCACATCTGCGAAGAGGGAAAAAGAAAGACTTATTAGTGACCTCTGGGATTCCAGAAGAAATGGGCAGCATGACAGGCAGCCTTCTTTTTCCCCATGGTGGTTTTTTGAGCACTAGAGATCCCAAAATGGTGTTCCCAAGCCACATAAATATGGGCCCAGAGACCAAATTAATACCCCAAAACTCTGCACCGAAGTCTATGAATCCCAAATTGTAAATTTGGGCCTCTAAGTCATGATCCAGAGCTAAAACTAAAGAGCAAATTCCCAAACTATGACTTCAGAATTTCAGTCTTAATAATGAGATGTCAGACCCTGAAATGGAGACCACCAGGCCTGAAAACTGGTTTGAGATCTCTCATTTGTGATACTAAGACACTAAACTATGCCTTTAAACTCCCAAAGTGAGGACCTAGAACCCAAAAAGGAGCCCTTCCAAATCTAAAAACCCTAAACTCTAATACTGAGATACCCTAGACACCTCAACTGTCAACTTCTGACCCAAAAATATGACCCCAATCCTAATATTAAAATAACAGACCACAAACATTAACACGGAGAACCCAAATCCTAAAGAAATCTAAGCCCTCCAAAGCAAACCTCAGCCCTCCCAAATTGACCTCAAATCCTAAAATAAAGACTTCAGGACCCCAAAACTGTCACTTCAGACTCTCAAATTGTGACTCCAACTCCCAAACAGAGATCTCATATGAGTCCCACTCTGAGACCCAGACTCTAAAATTGAAGCCCCATACTTCAGGGGCTATGGGCCCTAAAACTTAATTCTCAAGGTCCCAAACTGTGACTCCAGACCCTACATCTCATACCTTATACTCTACATTAAGATTCTAGACCCTAAATCTACACTGAGGCTTCAGTCCTCCCAAATCAGACCCCAGACCCTCAAAATGATACACCAGAATTCAAACTATGACTTCCAGATCCCAAAATTAGGATCTCCGGATTCCAACAGGAAAGCTTCCAGTCACAAAACCCAAGACCTTCAGATTCCAAAACTAGTTATATCCTGACACAAGTCCTGAGACCCCGGATCCCTCAACCTATTCAAACAGCCTTGCAGTATCTCAGACTTGAGCCTGGATCCCCAAACCTAGCCCAGCCTCAAACCCTAACTCAGCTCTGCTGCTCCAGTCCTGCCTCACCCACAGCCCTGCCCCTGGGGGAGCGGGGGGAGCACGCTAGCCCCTATGCCCCTGAAGCCCCCACAGGGAGGTCACCGCCACAAAGTGCTGCTCCTGAGTGCCGGTGGTGCGGGTCAGTTCCCCACCCCAATTCCCCTCAGCCTCCAACACCCGCCTCTGGACGTGCAAAATGGCGTGAGGCACCCCTTCTGGTTTAGCGCCAGCCCCACACTTGGGAGCCGGATCAGGCTTCGTCTCGTGCAGGTCCTGGAAGGCTGGCGGTGCGTGCGGGCCCTAGACCGGCCTCGGCCACCACGGTCCCATCCCGGGTCTGGGGCTGGGCACGAATGCCCTAGAGCAGGGATCCTGCCGGAGGCCTGAAGAGCAGAGCAAGAGTGCGCCCGAGGGCAGGCCACGCCCCCACCAGTTCCCGCCAAGAGTGCTGGGCGCGAGACTGGAAGCAGGAAAGGGCAAGGTGCAAGTGGACGTGCGCACGCGCGCCTAGCAAAGGGCCCTGTTTTCTAGCATGGCGCGAACTCGGCCTCGCGCCTCCTGACACTTCTTTGCTGGAGGGCGCCAAAGTGCCGACCAATCAGCGCTCAGTCAGCTGCCCGCCTTTGCCGCGGACCCCGCCCCGCCTGGCCACGCCTGGACAGGCCACGCCCCCTGATAGCTCAGCTGGTCCTGGGCCCCAGAATCCTAATCAAGAGGAGGCGGTGTCTCCCCAACTGCCAGTTCTCCGAAAGAGATCTGGCCTGTCACTCTTCAGGCCCTTCGGTATCCCATTTCTATCTTTTCCCTTCACCGCATATCTAACAAGGGCCTACTGTTGCCAACCACCACCGAGCTGCAAGTGGGAATTTAGCTGCGATCTTCCCAGTGCAGTCTGGAAGGCTCACAGACCTTGAGAACCTAGTGAGGAAGGGGCTAATTAAAGTCCGATATATTGAGGAAACCATTCAAAGAAGGGGGCCATTGGAATTGGGCCTTAGTGGCAGTTCCCCTCATGAAGATGTCTGTGCCTCGATATAGCAAACTCTCCATTTTAGAAAGCTCACTCCTACCGCCCTTGAAGAGGATGGACTGGAAAATGAGTGGAGAGTAGAGGCCCTGGCGTCCAACCCATTTCAGTTCCAATCCCTTTCTTGCTGTGTTGCCATGGAAAAGAGGCTTAATCTCTTTCTACCTTATTTATAAATTTGGAATGAGTCTTACTAGGGTCGTCTGCAGGATGTCACCTATATAATTAGAGTGCAATCTTTACTCAACTGTTCCCACTGTTCCAGGTGCTTGTACAAGTACACAAAGATGCCTGTCCTCGGGGAGCTTCTATTCATTCTAACTGCGATATGGACAATTCCTAGTGCATGGGACTTTTTTCCCTTCGAAAGCTTAATTTTCTCACTTGTAAATTAGGAGGCGGTGGTAAGAAAACTAGGGAGAAAATGGATGGGAAAGTGAGAAAATACAGGGCACTGTTAATTATTGCGTTAATCGGCTTAAGTAAATCGATAAACTTGTCCTTTCGCAATTCTCTACCTCTCACAAGCTTCCCTTTGCAATTTTCTCAATTCTCCCAAGGGCCCCGGGCCAAAATGGAGACTGGACTCGCTCTCCTAGTGCGCCTGGCGGGGGCGCTCTCTGCGCCTGCGCTGCCAAGCGCCCTCTGTGCCCGCAGGGAATTACAGTCATTCTTTTCCTCAGCCCTTTGCTTCCTTCCCTACCTCCGAGCTTGACCGTGCTGCCTTCTGGGAAGTGTAGTGCATGGTCGTCCGGACTCCAATTCCCAGCGGGCTTCGGGGCGGGAACCCGGAAGGGGAGGCTGGAGAGAAGCGAGTGGGGGGAAACCCGCGTAGCTGAGGGAGCTTCGGCTCGGAGAGATGGTGAGAACCCTGAGTGGGGGCCCAGGGGCGCTTAAGAGCCGAGGCGGGGGTTCGGGGCCGGTTGGCGAGAAGAAAGAGATAGGGGCTAAAAAAAGGGCTGAACGAAGGGAAGTCGCTTGGGGGAGGGGGTTGAGGGGAATGGGAGCAGGAGGGAGTAGTAAAAGAATGGGGGCTGGGGTTGGGTCTTGGAGGTGGAGAGGGAGTGGAGCTTTGGGATTGATTGTAAGGAAGCTCAGAGCTCGGGAAGGGAGTCCCGAATTGGAGAAGGTGCCAGGAGTCCAGGCAGAGGCCCTGATGGGGGCAGGGTTAACCTGTGGGATATGGAAACGCATGGATGGTCAGGGCTAGATGAATGAGGGAGTCTGGAGGTTTGGAGGGAGAGGCCGGCTGTGGATGTGGTGAATTGGGGCCTCTGGATCGGATTGGGAACCAGAGAGCAAGTTTAGATAGTGGGAGAGATAAATCAATGGTAGAGTGGTGTGTGGGTTAGGCTCCAGGACTGGGGGTGGGATGGGAGCCTGAGACTAGGGGCCTGGATGTAACCATAGTTTTCCTAGTCCAGCCAGAGAGTCCTGAGAAACTGGACAGCCACAGAACTCTAAGATAGTATGACCAGATAGGCTATTGAGACAACCTTTTGCACTCTCGTTTCTCCACTGGGATTTAGAAAAGTGTAGTGGTTTATGTGTCCAGCATTCAGATCTCTTATTCTGCCACTCCTTTGTGACCTGTGAAAGTTTCCCCTCTCTGAAACTCAGTGCCCTTATCTGTACTGTGGGAACAACTTGCCACTGAGAAGAGGGGAGGCGTCATAAAATCATTACCCTGGCTGGCAATAAGTCCTCAGTCTCAGAGCTGTTGGTGGGAAGTTCCCCACCCCAGGAATGTGACTGGGCCACAGGTGCTAATGGATTCCCTCCTTTTCAGTCCAGCCCCAGGGGTGTTTTTGCAAAACCTGACACTGATCTGGGTATACCCCAGTTTAGAAGCATGAAGGGGCTCCCTACAGCCTATTACAGTTAACACTTATTGTTTAGGAAATGCCTGGCCCTATTCTTAGCTGTTTGTGCACATTATTTAATTCTGACAACACTCTTAAAATGGAGGTGTTATTATTATTTCCATTCTACAGAAAGGAAATAGAGACACAGAGAGGTTAAGCAACTTTCCCCAGTTCATCCAGCATTAAATGGTAGATTTGGGATTCCATTGTAGGCATTCTGGCTCAGGATCTGGCTTTCACTGCTGTAATTTAGTCTCCTCTCCTTGTACAGTGTCATGAATAGAGTCATGGGTGGGACAAAGACTCAAGAACTGAAAAATCTTCAGTTTGAATTTTAGTTCTGCAGTTTGCTTGCTATGTAACCTTGGGCAAGTCTTTTGGCTTCTCCTCAACTGTAGAATGGGATCAGTAACCCTAGGAAGGTTATAACAGAGGTTCATGGAGGTAAGTATGTAAAGTGCTTAGAGTAAGCGCTAAGTACACGAGTTGTCTTTTATTTATTTGTGTTTTTTTAACATGAATGGGAAACACAGAAGGCAATAGAGAGGGACCAGTGTGTGAGACATCAGCCAGGCTGCCTCCTCTCTTATCTCTCTCAGGTCCCCCCATATCCTGACTCTTCTAGTTCCCCATCCTCTATCCCTGGGCTCCCAAGGTGATTCCCTGAGGGGGTGCTCAGAAACTCAATCTGTCCTCATTCCCATCTCTATCCCCAGCCAAATATAAATAATTCACTTGCCAATGCCCAGCCTGGCCCAACTCCAGGTATTTCAATGAATAGGAAATATTTCTAACAACTGTGAGGGTTTTTTTGCTCCCCAACCTTTTGGTCATTAAAACCTCACATGGCAATTCGGCAACTTTGTAATTCATCTTGAAACAGTTTGGTCCTGAGTTTATCACTAAGTTCTCTGACTGTGATACAAAAGCATTGGTGTCAGATAGTCCAGGTTCAAATCCCCACCTCTGCCACTATGTGT